ACTCCTCGGTGTTCTGTAACGAAAAGCCTTTTTGATGTCTAATTTGAATACCTTTTTTGTGTTTGCTCATGGCTCATTGCATGCTGAGAATTTAGCTTGTTCTTTTCTTAAACAGGACTCTTTTGTTAAGTTGGATAAGCTTGAGCAGAGCTCAGTGTGCAGTCTGTAGATCAGTCATTTATATTTGAATTATTTTGTATCACCAGAGAATGGAGGGCCACTCCCTTACATTCCGTCTTTTTGAAAACTGGGTTGGGCACTCTGTATAAAAACTAGAGCCCACTATTGCCTGTCGAGGATTTGCGACTGGGTGTTGGCAAAGGCAACATGCTGTTTTGATTTGTTTCTGTTGCATGTACATGTATGAATACCACTTCTGAAACGTGGATATCCTGACAAATTCTGTGCCTCGTCTCAGCCGTGCCTGTAGTCACTGTAGTTCTGTTATTATTGTATAAATTACTGGTTGTACTGTATAATTGTAGATGCAGTAATGAGTACTGATCAAACTGTTTAAAGACGGCACTTGATTCGGTTACTTGCTGACTATAGCCACGAGCTAATTAGATTGTGAATTACAGCCGAGAAGTTTGTTGGGCTGATTCAACGATTTGAATCCATACTGTCAAATTGTAAATATTTGAAATGATGCAATTATTTTTGTTCATTAATTAAATGCCAGAAGCCAGTTGCGAATTTAAAACAAATAGTTTTTTTCTGTTTAGTTGATTTGTGTGTGTTCCCACTACTGGCGGAGTCCTAATTAAAGGTATTTCGTTACAAACGTTATAAACGGAATGCTTCCAGTAAGCCCCCCCCCACGGTCTATCCCTGCTGGTACTCGAACCAAGACGTGGGCGGAATGAGTTGTCCATTCAACTCAGGCCGGAAAGGACGATTCGGACAGTTCCTCGTCGGGAGGATCACTAATTTCCGTAGTCTCCTCCATGCTGGGCCTTTCTTCTCCTTCCCCACCGACGTTCACTGATAACGACGACATCTGGGTTACACCGCAACCGAGAAGGAAAAA